AACTGAAAAATACAATTTTTAGATTGGAAAGGTCTTTAAAGTACCTAGAACAATGACTGGAAAAAAACAAAAGCAACCAATATCAACATCAGAACATGAGGAATAAAGAAAAAACCCTACAAACTTCCAAAGATGAAAGCAAAATACAAGGGATCAGAAATCAGAATGGCATCAACTTCTCAACAGCAGTAAGAAGGCAGAAGAAAATGGAGCCATGCTTTCAAAATTCTGAGTGGAAATTATTTCCAGTAAAGGTCCATGCCTAGGCAAACCATCAATCAAGTGGGAAGGAAGAAAAATGATATCTTAAACATGCAAGGTCCCAAAAAGCAGCCAGGTCTTGTGGGGCCTGAATCTTACATAATTTTGGGAGCTTCCTTAAGAAAAAGTCATTAAATTACACATGCAAAACAGGGTGTGAAAGTGAATATTTATTTACACTGAGAAAAGAAACCACAACACAAGGGGACCATTGAGGTTCCGGACTCTGTCTTCTAAAATCTTTTTAGAAAATGTAACCAAAATGCTTCTTGATGGAAACCAGGCTCTACCTACCCACATTACAACTTACACCAATTTGCAGTCTGGACAGGCACCCCATGAGCTTCATCAGCTTAGGGATAAATCTGCCTCTTTCTTCATGCACCCTTTCTCCAGAAGCTGTGCTCCAGCAAAATCAAGAAATGAGAAATGGGAATCCAGTACCATTCATAGGGTAGTAGCCAGGGTAGCTCCCAGTATAACAAGGCGTGCAGAGAATAACCAGTCCCAGAGAATGGGGGTGTGTCTGCTGAGCTCGGGTGTTTCCAAGAAAAAAGTCAAACTGGCTACTTTTTGATGTCTAACTCTATTGAGAGGAATTTTACCATCCTGTCAAAGTTTGCACAGGAATTGTTAACAAGTACTCTAAAAACTATGCAATTGAAGAAAATGTAGCAATTACTTACTCTGGGGGATAGAAAAAGTTAGACAAGAAAGGAAGTGTAAAAATCATGGTTTATCATAATATGGCTCAGTTGTGAGTAATACTTCCATAGTCACAACCATTTAAACACTACACATTGCTATATAAAAAAACCTTGCAAGAAAGGGAGGTGAATATGAGATAGAATAACAGGGTTCTAGAACTACATCCTCATCTTCCCAGGTAGGTTGTCCATAGACTAGAACTGGAAAGAGAAAGAAATAGCCAGTATTGGCATGTAATGTGGAAATATACTGGCAAATAGTTTTGGAAAGCAGTTTCTCTACAGAGGCAGCTCAGGATAGACTCTTTAAAGACCCATGTAGAACTTACGACTTTTTAGACTATATCTTTACTTACGTTGACCAAAATAGAAAATTCAAAGGGAAAGGGATATTCTCAAGAGGAGTGAGACAGAAAGCTGTTGGAAATAAAATGCAGGTGTCTGCTAAACTACCCCAGAGTCAGTGGTTTTCAAGTTGTGGTCCTGTGACCAGCTGCATTCAAATTACCTGGAGTGCCAGTTTATAATTCAGATTTATAGACACTTCCCAGACTTAAATCATGAGCATTTTACCAGGTGGGCTCAGAATCTGTAATTTGAAGAAGTTCCCCTAGACCCACTACTTTACCTATTGCTTTTTAGTAAATGAAAGAGCAAGAAGAAAAACAAAAGTAATAACAAAACAAAGAGCCAATGACCCAATGACTCAATGACTCATAAAACATAGTATGATCCTTCTGATTGGTGTAGAAGAGGTGCCTGTCTCTGAGTGAGGACGAAAGCCTCAGTACACTAAGGATGGAAGAGCAGGAAGGCCGAAGCGGCTTATCTCAGCCCTGGAAAGCTGCTAGAGACAGAAGGATAAGCCACGGAAATAGCCTCCAGACACCTGATTATTTGAGAAAAAACAACTCCTTCCTTATCAAGTCACTGTAGTAGGGTTTTCTGTTACATGTAGCTGAATGGAGTGCTAATGACATAGCATATGTGTTCAAATGTTTGATAGATATTGAATACATTTTATTGAATGCCTGCTGTGAGCACTGTGCTATGAATAATACAACGGGCCAGGCAAATAAGGCACGTTCCCTCAGGGACCATATAATCCAGGTGGAAGAATCGACAGATATCTAAGTCCAGGACTCAGCAAAGCGATGATTTGCTGTCACAGACCATAAAGCAACAGAGTAAATCAAACTAAACCACTTGATTCATGCATCTAGGAAATCGCTAAGAGACCACATTGGGAGAGCTAGGTTTTAGGTGTAATTCTTCAGCAAAGTAGATTTAGGGAAGTAACATAGACTCTGGGGAAGTTTGTTTCTTTTTCTGAATCCAATTTTCTTTAAAAAAACAAAAAGATTGGGCTTGATAATCTTTAAGGCTATCCTCAGCTCTAAAATATTTTTGTGGTTACACTGAACAAAGATGGACATGAAATAATACCAAACTAGATGGTTTATGAATTTAGATTCTAATACTTCAAGTCAGAAAATAAATAAATGTTCAGAAAAAACAAATCACAAACAACTCCCCACCCCAAAATTAAACAAACAAAAAACCAAAACCAAATCAAAACAAAACAAACCACCCTGGAGGGAGCTGTGGTTTTATGAAAGAAGTTCTGGTTTGAGTCCCAGCTCTGCCACTTGACAGCAGGTAACCCAGGACAGATACTCCAAATCTCTTTCAGTTTCCTTATTTATGATATAGGCTATTACTCTTACCTCACTGCTGAGTATGGAAATCACTTTATACTCTGTAAAGCCCCATTATGATTGGCTGCCAGCAAGATAATGGATAATGGCTTATAATATTTAAATTCTGCAAGGGAAATACATGAGTGTGCTCTGATATCTTCATTTACTTCTTCATCACATAAGGCTGATAATTCTTTTGAGTTTCCTTCTCCTTCCAATAGTGCACCTTGTGACCTATTTTATTTTTACAAATGAGAACAGACAAGAGGATCAAAACTAGCTGAAATTCAAATCATTTCTGTTTCTAGCCCCAGTAAAGATTAGGGGGAGAGGGCTGGCTGGTTAAAAGGAAGCTGAGTTCAAATGCCGTGTGGGTATTCTAGCACTCTGTGGTCTCTAATGTTCACATTGAGTATTACACAGTATTGTGAAAAGTCTAGCTTTTGGCCAGTGACCTGTCTATAGGAAGAAATGTAGATCTGAAATCTACCTATGTATTCATTAGTTAATGACTCAGAAGTGACTGCCAGGCTCTTACCCACAGTTATAAAAAGTTTTGCAATAACCAGGATTTTGGCTATGGGAGTGGATCTAATTATGGTAAATCTACCCTTCATCCATTTTCAACAAGCAAACGCGTTTAAGAAAAAGAGATAATCCTTTGATTATAACCAGTGTATAACATCTATACTGACCAACTAAGCATGACAGCCAATGTTAACTTGAAGATGGTGGGGAAATAAGAAAGCAGAAGTCTCTCTTCACCCCTTTGCCCCCCAGCCCTTGCCAAATCTTGATGACCTCAGAGTGCCCTTTGCTAAGATTAGGAAAGAGACATAACCAGGGATGTAATGGGGAAGACCTCAAATAGCATAACTGGTGCCAAATGTGAGATTCAGTAGCTTCACCCAGGCCATCACAACCCAAATCCACCAGCAGGGTGAGGGAGGAGCCCAGAGAATATAAGGAAAATGTGCAGGATGAGATAAGTGGTGGTAGTGCTTCCACCTCCCATGGAAGAAGTGAGAGGAAATTAAAGCTCTTTAAAGAGGAAATTGAATGTTTGGCTCTGGTAATACCACAACAAATAATGCAGAGCCAGAAATACTGCTTCCCTCTCTGCTTCGGTCAGGCACTCTCCTCTCGTAAAATAAAGGCACCATGTTCAATAAAGCCTTCATATCAATTCCATATCTTTTCCAGAAACTCTAGAACAGAGGGTAACTGCATCATTATTAAGCCCATGAACCCTCAGTCAGGAAGAACTTCGTCTGAAGCGCCTCTGGCCCCATCTGAGTGTATTATCATTCTCCCTTGCACTGTTTAATACAGTACAAAACCCAGATGATGCTGAATGCATTGCACATCTGGTGAAAACCAGTACCTGTTTCTTATGAACAATAAGCCATGCTACCTATTAAAATGAATGTAAACATACAGGTAAAATACTTGTGCCACTTTATGAGCCAAACAGAGCTGGGGGGGGTGGGGTGGGGGTGGGGGATGGGTGGGGGGGCGGGCAATGGGGCAAGTGGTTGGGGATGGGAAGCAAATGGCCCTGAGGGAAGGGGCGGCAGAGAGTGTAAAGGAAATAGTAATTTCTGTGACTTTCAGAGCAGGTGCCTCGCTAAAATTTTTAAACGATCTATTTCACAAAATGCTTGGTTTCCCTTGCTGAAACACAGATCTTTCTTACAGCCAGGGCTAGATCCCATCTCCAGAGGCTATCCCCTCTGCACCAGGCACCAGGCACCAGGCAGGGTCACCAAAAACTACTTTAGGTGGGGCATAAACTTCCTAACCGCTTTGCTCCCCGACATCCTTTTCTACCCACAGGCCTATTAGTGGAAGCTAAATAATGGCTCAGGGACTTTTATCAATCAATCGCCTCTTGTTACTAGATTCCAGGCTCCCCGGCCTGAGGAAGGTCTCTGGTCGGCGTATTGGTGGGTTGGCGCTGTCGAGGAGACACAGGAGGGGTTCAGCGCCCACCTCTGTGTGGAGCGAAGTGAGGCCAGCTCTGGGCCTCTGGGTCAGACATCCCCGGCGGGGTGTCCCCGTATCCTGGGGCACAACGGAAGGCGGGGGCTTCACACCTCGAAACTCCTCTCCGCCGGCAACACGGTCGACCCGACGGGCTGGGGATGGAGCGTATTCATTCCAGGGCCGCGGGGAGGACAGAGCGCGCCGCCTGAGGGAGCGGTAGGGTGCGCCGGCCTCCAGCCCGTGGGACCCCAGCTCAGCGTCCCCAGTGCTGCGCCCTCAGCCCCGCTAGCCCCTGCCCTGCCCGAGCCCCCTCCGTCCGAGCCCCTGCCCGCAGCGGCCGTCTCACCTGCCGAGCTCCTCCGAGCTGGAAGCTACCCGCGCCGCACGCCGGGTGCTGCAGCCACCAGCCTGTGCAGGTGTCCCGCCCGGCCCCGCCCGCCGCCCACACGGAGCGCCCCGCCCCGCGGGCGCGCGGGGCCTCCCGTCCCTGCTCGCAGTTCTCTCCACGCCCTTGACACTCCCGCCCAGGTGCCCCTGATCCCAGATACGCCCTAAGGCGTGTGCTCCGACTGGGGCCGGTTCCGGGCACCCAAAAGTAGATTGCTACCCGCCAACCAACCGTGACCTCCTGTGATGCACAGCAAGTAAGGGGCCTGGGAGGCGGCGGGGACTCGGAGCACAGGCTGTTTCAAGTCCTAGCCTGGTTCCCTCGCTAGCGGTGGGGTGAAGTAGTCACGGATCACCCTTCAGCAAAGGAAGACTCTGGTGTCGCATCCTGGGCCAGAATCCAGTCTTTTAGTTTCAGCTCTGTGTCACACGGATGCAGTCACTCCTTCCTGCCTCCCTTTCTTTCCTAGGCGGGACCGAGTTCTAGGTGCTGGAGATAACGCTGCGCAGCGCCTTCCTACTAAGGATCGCAGGACTTCGCAGTAGTCTCAATGCCCTCATCTGTGAGTTAAGGGGCTGGCCTAGGTGAACAGTTTCTCATAACCCCCTGTGGAAGTTAAAAGGATGCCAGACCTAAGGCTCCATCTCAGACCTACTATCAGACTCTGGGGAGAGTACGGCAGAGCCTGTGAAAAAGGCTCCTCCAGGGACCGTAGGAGGCAGGGCTGAGAATCTCACCTCTCCATCTCTTAAGTGCCTTCAGCCTATTCCATTGTTGAGGGCACTGAAAACCAAGAAAGGCTTCCTGGAAGGGATGCTGTATTTAGGTTTTAAAGAAAGGCAAAAGATACACACTAGCACAGGGGGAGGGGTTGCGATCCCAAGTGCAGCTTCTTTTGATCAAATAGCTTTTCTTTCCTATAAAGTCAAAGGAAGGCATTTTTGAGGATCAGGCTTAAAGCTGAGTAAATTTTTCCCCTATAAAACAAAGTGAAGAGGCCTGGTGAAGGAGATGATGGCAGAGGCACTGCTCTCATTAAACGGCTAATTGAGCCCCACACTTCACACACTTCAGATGGATAATGTGGCAGAGGGAGGAGCTGGGAGAGTACTGCTTTCATTTCCCATCACCTTGGGGATTCATTTACCTATCAGGCCTCATCTGGGCACTTGCTCACACCGGTTGTTTTTGAAATGGATGATAGGGTGGGGTTCTAGATGTCTGTTACCCTGGGAAAATGCTGTTCCCTGTCACCAGATCCTGGCCATGGTCATGCTTTCTCCTTAGTAATGTTTTCTTTTCCTCTAAGGCTGTGATGAAACAAATTTGTGATCTCTTAGTTGTGGTTACTGATGGGTAGAGATGCTTCTGAACATTGAAAAATTGGAGCTAAGAAAATCATCTCTACCTCAAATTTTAATATCCCAGTTACAGGATATTGTAAAAACCTGTTTTTACAATTAAGTCTGACTGTCTTTAATTTGATCGGTAAAAATAACATAAATCAAATAGCTTAAGTCAAACAATTCACAAAAGATAAATTGATATGCCAATAGTAATAAATTAATACAACAAGAAGAGCTAATGATTATAAAACCATTTTAATACAGCAGTGGAGCAGATTAGCATCTAGAAACAGATCCAGTTATAGGTGGAACCTAGTAAACACAAGGGTGCCATTTTAATTCAACAGGAAATTTTATAGATATTGCTGCCATAATTGTTCTTTTGGAGATCTTATCATGGAGTGCCCATTAGCCAATCTTCCCTTGGCCATCTTCACACTGATTGGGCACACGGCCACCCAGAATAAGTACTATTTTTCCCAGGCTCTCTTTTAGCTAAGATAGGTTTTGTGACTGAGCTCAAGACTGTAGGCTACAAGTGGAAGTGATACGGGCAACTTCGTATTTTACTCTTTTTGATGCTATTGTAAGTTGAATTGTTTTTTAATTTCCTTTACTGATTTTTGTTAGAAATACAATTGATATTTGAATGTTGGTTTTGTACTGATATTTGATATATGAGCATTGGTTCTGCTACCTTGCTAAATTCGTTATTTCTTCTAACTGTGTGTGTGTGTGTGGAATACTTAGGGTTTTCAACATACAAATTGTGTCATCTGTGAAGAGAGGTCATTTTATTTTTTCCTTGGATGCTTTTCTTTCTTTTTCTTGCCTAATTACTTTGATTAGAACTTCTAATACTATGTTGAGTCAACTTAGAAAAAGTTGAGCATCCTTGTCTTGTTCCTGATCTTAGAGGAAAAGCTTGCAGTCTTTCACCACCGAGTATCATGTTAGCTGTGGGTTTTCATATGTGGCCTTATTATGTGGAGGTAGTTTCCTTCTAAGTTTGTTAAGTGTTACTTTCATGCAAGGGCATTGAATTTTATAAAATAGTTTATTCCTGCATTGATTAAAATGATCATATGGATTTTTCCCCCTTTAATTCTGTTAATGTGGATTATTATATTGATTGATTTTCATGTGTTGAACTATCCTTGCATGTCAGGAATAAATCCCACTAGGTTATGGTATATCTCCTGACTAGATGGCTAGGCCATTGGCAATGGCCCGTGAGTCAGAGAAAATGTAGCAAAGTGTGGTGGTATGGGTGGTCTGCACAGCCATTACCACTTCATGTAGTTCATCCCACTGAGAGCACATCTATATCCAGTCTCAGCCAAAAGATAGTCTCTATTGGCTGGATGGTGGCCATAGCTGTGTGGACCCTATCTGCTTTCAGTTTTGCAGAGCCATCAGTGAAACATGCCTTGCCAGAGCATTCCTGTGGGGTGCTTGGTCCCTTCTGTAAGCTTGCTAGTTGTTTGTAGTTGTTCATGGAGGCCACTGGTCTGTTGGGGTCTTGGTTTGGCTTGACCTTGGACCTCGGTACACCATTTCCATTTAATAATTGATCTCTCTTGAACCTGTCCAATTTTATTGGTGAGATTTGTAATCACCCAAGTAAGAGTGGGTAGTTCAGGTCATAGTGTCATGTTTGTTGCTCTGGCTCTGAGATGCTCAGTCTCCATCCACTGCCCAGCAGCATGCAAGGAATTATTCTTCAAAAGGAGTGCATCTGGTGGCTGCCTCAGGAAATCTGTGGTTTCAAAATCCCAGAGGCCAGCATGCCCTAGTGGCAGTTTCTTGTTGCTGTACTTCAGTCAGCATCTGTGGAGGTTGTGGGCAATATAGTTCCATGGTGTCCAGACTTGTAGGCTCCAAAGGCCCCAAAGGCAGTGGTGAGGCCACAGCTTTTTGAACAGCTTCCAAGACTTGCTGCTGCAAAGGGCCTCATTCAAAATTGGTGGCCTTAACTAGGGTCACCTTAACTAGGGGCCACAAGAACACCCAAGTGGGGTATATGCTACCTGTAGTACCCATAGAGGCCTACCAGAAGTTGGGCCTCTTTTTTATTAATTGGTGATGCCAAGGCCAACAATTCTTGCTTCGCTGTATCTCATATACTTCTTTGGCTTCACACCCAAGTAGCTTCTAGAAATTGCACCTGCTGTGCTTGGTCCTGGACTTTATCTGGATTTATAGCTCAAGTCCCACTAGTCATCATGTCAGCGACTAATTGCAGAGCCACCTTCACCTGTTTTTTGGTGGGATGTAATGAAGGACCAAACTCTTGTGGTAACCTGGGCTCTTTGAAGGTCAAGCCCCACTCACTGGTGGCATATTGCAAGGGAATTGACGTGTTCCTGTGGAACATATTGAAATATACAGCAGGCTGTTCATGTGATTGTGATTTGGTCCTGAGGTTTATCCTGATTAGCCAAGTCAATGACAGCATACTGATCTCCAGGGTGGGTTACTGCTGTCTCACAGCAGCCAGGGGCAGAACCTTAGCGTTCAGCCTGTGAGAGTCTGCTGTCAGTCTCTATGCTCTGGAGGCCTTTTTGAGTGGCTAAAGCAGGCTGTTAAATTGTGACAGAGTGATTTATAACTCTCCTGTCTTCAGCAAGGCCTGTATTAACAAAGTAATATCCTTCTCCCCACCTGGTATGTGGAATTATTTCTGTTCGACGATGCACCATGGCCTGGGCATTTCTGGAGGGGTAGAAATGCACTTGGCCACCACAGTGGCTCCAGTGCTTATTGGGGTACATTCCCTTCATGATGGTGATAGTGTCCAGTAATGCACATGGCTGCAATGTTAATGCCTATTTGCATTCTACACTGGAACCATGGTTCCTGGTAACTCAAATGACCCAAAGGGCCCCACCCACAAGCAGATGAGGACCTGTCTGCCATGGGTCACTGTGTTCACCCCCAAATTCTCCAATGTCAACAGTTTAATCTTACTCCTGTGGGGACCTGGAAATATTGTCATGTGGGCACCAGTATCCCAGAGCCCCATAAAAGTCTGAATTCCCCTATTTTACCCTTTTATCCTGACAGAGGTATAAGGCCATTGGTCCACAGTGGAGACCTGGAGATGTTGACCCTGTCCTTAGCATATTCAGCCTCAGACATTTGGGTCTGCAATATCCCCTTACCAAATAGACACACCAACAAGGCTGTATGAGATTCCTCTGGCTTTTGTCTGTATTTGTCCTTCAGTCTTTATATTTCATTCCCAGAGGAGGATCTCATTTCAACAGTTTTATTTTCAGCAATACCATCAGTGGTTTTGCACTGAATGAAAATAGATCTTATATGAAGCTGGCAAGTGACCTGGACTGGGTGGAGCTCTCTGCTCAGGACCCACTTAATTCCCGTGGAAATCACCTGTCACTCTGTTGTCTCGACACCTTGGGAGATTCCCAGATGTAATCTGAAACTGGCCTCCATATGTGGAGGGCATGGAAAGACTGAAGAAAGAGGCAGCCCACTCACACTGGTAGAAGTCAGGTTAAATAAGCAAGGGAACTTACACACCAGGCTTGTCTTGGAAGCACAAGATGTACAGATCTCTGCACCCATCCACCAGAATCTTAGAAGTTTATATAGAGCCTGTAACTGGGTACAGTCATGTTTTCACCACCACATGACCACCTCAAAGTTGTGTCCTTGGGGCAGCTTCTGTGTGC